ACAGGTGAAGGGGAGAGCCGGGAAGCTTTACACTGCAGGCTGATGAGTAAGTTGGCCTGTATCTGTTTCCTTTCTGTTGATTCCAAGAAGACAGATCTACCTTAATCATGCTGATAATTTGCCAAAGAGGTGAAACCTCACTTACTGATACCATCTCTTGGCTTCTCTGGGAAATGGCAAAGTATATTATCTTCCTTCTAAAAATAAGCAGGGATAGAAGCATCCTGGACACAAGTGCGTAAATCCAGCTTTGAAATCCTCCACATTCAGGAAGCTCAGAGTGAGAACCAAATGTCTCTGGGGGGAGGGAGGAGAAGGCAAAGACAGGGGTTTGATTTCCTCAGGGTTATTATAGCACAAGGACTAGAGGTTGTAAAGCATGATAGGAAACTAAATAGCTATTGATTACCTGGACTAATGAATGTCCCCTAATCTCAACAGCAGCCTGGTGGAATTGGAATGGAGCCTGATCCTGCCACTGTCATTGACAGCTGCCAACCTTGCATGTGTTACCACCCACTCTGAACCTCAATTTCTCCACCTGTGAAATGAGGAAAATGATGCTGCACACGTGGTTTTGAGAAATAAGAAACCACATGTAACATTCATTCATCTCTTCTACGAGTGTTTATTGTCCCCTGCTGTTACCAGTGACATAATGTCTATATAGAGTAGGCTTTAATAAATGACCCCTCTCAATCCTAGGCCAAATTTGTTTTTGGAGTGGATTTTTTGCCTACACTATGTGGAATGGGGTTGATATCCCTGGGATGAGCCTCCCTGAAGTTGCTCTGGAAGGCTGTGATCTAGAAGGGGTCGGGAGCTCAGCGTCTCCTTAATGGTCCTTTTCTTTCTCGCCCCAGCAGCCTTCTTCAGAGGTGGTCATATGCTCTGGAGTCAAGAAGCTTCTCTGATTGCAAAGTCAGTGGGAAGCCAAGGAAATTGAGGGAGGGTGTGGAATAATAAAAGGATAGCAAATTCTGCCCCACCCATCACACAGTATCAGAGTCAGAAGGACAACCCCTACGTCCTCATTTTGCATAAGAGAAAACTCATACCCAGGGAGGGGGTGTGACATGTGACAGCGCTGAGATCGGATCTCCCGTCCAGAGTATGTCCTCTTTACCCACAGAAGTGGCTTTTATTCAGCAAACTCTAAAGCAAGATTTGGTGGACATCACCTAAAGAGTGGATGATTGGAAACAGAAAGCAGCTGCCCCATGAACATCACCGTTTATCAATCATGACTGCACGCTCTGCACAGGAGGCCTCTGGCTGGGTAGGTGTGCCAGGGAAGGAGAGGCATCATGGAACAACCCCATTCACATTTAGTCATCCACTCGCTCATCCACCCCGTTCCTGAAACGTTTATTGAGCACCTGTTAACGTACTATGAGCAATGCTAGGGGCTGGATAATGTATACTTGTGTGATCTCTCTTCTTGGGCAGGAAGAAGGAGCTGAAATTTGACCCAGGCTGGGCTGCCGTGAGCTGGAGTGGGGCACAGAGCTGTGGGGCTGATCCTCAGGTGTGAGAGCAGGTTTAGGAAACCGGGAAGCTATGTTCCACTTCTGGGGGGTCCAGGAAGTTGGAGAGGTCAGAAACATTCAACCCAAGGAAGCAGAGGGAGGAAAATGCCATGCTTAGAGCTGACAGGGAGGAAGTAGATGTGGCATATGTTGGGGGTGGCCCAGAAAGGCTCCCAGAGGGGTCCTGCAGGGGAGCAGATGGATGGGAGGGAAGGGCCAAGGGAGCCATGTGGGCTTTGATAACACTGAGCAGCCCTGGTGAGCAAATTGGGTACTTTAGCATGAATTAGAATGTGCTGAAGGGCTGGCCGGTGAGCTTGGTTGGGTAGAGTGCAGCCTTGTAACACCAACATCACGGGTTTGGGTCCCTGTACTGGCCAGCCATGAAAAAAGAAAAATATGCTAGAAGTGTGCTGGTAGTTTTATATGGTCCTCCTTAAAGGGAACGAGGACAGGGAGGAACTAAACTGAGGGCTACAATAGACCAGTGGTTCCCAACCCTCTTTTATCTGCGAAGTGTGCTGGTAGTTTTATATGGTCCTCCTTAAAGGGAACGAGGACAGGGAGGAACTAAACCGAGGGCTACAATAGACCAGTGGTTCCCAACCCTCTTTTATCTGCGTCTTAACACCATTCATAGGCAGAGCATCTTTGATTACATTCACTCCCTCCCCCCACACACACCAAGGACGAGAGAAAAGGGGGAGAGAGAGGTCACAGCAATTGCCCACCCATCAGAATCTTGGGTGGGGACACATGCAGAGTTGGAAAAAGTCTTCTAGAAATTCTGCTACCATCCCTCTCCCCCAACAATGTGTCTACCCTTGTGGAGAGGCACAGCTGTGGACAGAAAGAGAGGCTGTCAAAAGTACAGAACGCACAACAGAAGTCAGTCACAATGTTTATTGAGCACTCACAGTGTGCAGAGTCCTGGGCAAAACACAAGAAGGAAACACAATGGCGATTCAATGGCTCTCTGTGACTCATGAAGATTACATCTTGAATGAAGGGGACATCTGTTAATCACACATGGACAGGTGTAACCAAACCGCAGAAATACAGTCACACTTGTTCACCACTACCAGTTTATTATGCGAGATGGCCATGGTGACCGGGGCACAAGAAGCCACAGAGGTGCACGATTTAATTAAAGAGCAAAGCTACAACACTCCATTCCAATGCTCAAGTTCTAACTACTCTGGTGATGAATAGAAGCTTCTAGAAGACATATGAAAATACCAGAAAATTGATAAATTTGTTTTCTTAATTCTACTGGCCACTTTATTTCAAATTCAAATTAGTAACCTACTTTAGTATGAAATAAAGGCAGTTAACAAAGTAAGAATAGCATTACATTAAAAAAAAATTTTTAAGAGTAAAATTAGACCATCCCGAAGATATGTTTAGATACAGATTCTGAAAGTTAATAGCTTTTTTCTTCTTTTTTAAAATAAATCTTCCATTATGTGAAAGACATCCCAATAAATTTAGTGAACAGAGGCATTTTACTGCTCCATATCCGGGGAGTTTTGTTTATTTTTTTATGTGCTTCTAAAATATTTTAAAGTAGGGTTTCCAGATAAAATACAGGATGTATTTTATTGCATGGGACATAGTCACATTAAAATCTATTTATTGCTTATCTGAAATTAGAATTTAGCTGAGAATCTGTATTTTCATTAGCTAAATCTGGGAACCTTATTTTTAGGTGAACATGCCTTTGGAGATTCCAGAGAATCCCAATAATGGGGACCTAATTTATATCCATTTAATATGCTAACACTGTCAGAGGGGAGGACTTATTCTCTGGGTAGGAAAGTTGTAGATAATGTATGATTTACTCACACATCGGGGACATTTTTAGTTCTTACACCTTTTATTATTACCATTTTAGCAGTGTGCATTTTAGTCAGTTGAATTTTTACCTTGAAGTCTTTGACTGAGATGGCTGGTGACAGCTAGTAAAATTAGATTGCAGTCTGAGGAAGAGTCTGGCTTGAAAAGTCCCGTGTAATAAATAGTTATGCCCCCAATAATTTCTTCTCAATTAGCACATGACCATTTCCCCGCTAATAAGCAAATGTGACACACATCTTGTCAAAGTATACAACATCTGTCACCCTATTCATGATCACTTCTTGCCGCTGTTCCCTTTCCCCTTTTCACATTGATTTTTTTTTTTTGACAGTTGAAATGACTGGCCCTTGTCCCACGCAGAGGGTCAGGCCTAGATCAATGGATGGTCATGACCCCATGAAAACAAGAAAAAGAAAAGCTCACTTCTTCTCAGATGCTTGGAGGCAGGAAGCTATGAACTTTCTCTTTTTTGTTTGTTTATCACACTGCACATAAACTTGCTTTCGTCAAAAATATCCACATTAATTTATTTAAGCAGACAGGACGATGTTACACTAACAAACGAGAGAAAGAAGTGCTGGTGGACTGGACTGACATGTACTATTCCAGAAATGCACTTCCTGGTATCTGCATGTATAGCTCACATCTTATTTTAAATTGAGATTTCTAAATTAGAGGAGAGCAATTTCAATACTAATTCTGCACAGAAACAAAGTTCACACAAAACTCGAATTGTTATGAAGGAATGTAAAATAACACTTGCTGAATTCCAACACCCATTAACAATTCACCTTTTTAAAAACACACCGAAGAGTATACTTATACATAAAAAACAATTATATTTTAGTTAACCAATTATTAGCAAATACAAAGCACTGATAGCTTTGACATTGAAAAGCTGTTTGTTAACTGATTCCACGTATGCGAGTTCTGATTCTGGGCCTGACTATTCATGTCACCCTTGACCAGGTACAATAACACATAACTCTCCTTTGTACCTGGAGGTCTTTCTGGAAAAGAGGAACTGTAGATGAATATGAGAAATTAAGCTGAGGCAAATGAGTTATTAAGTTCACCATCACCATATAAAGGAAAAGTTAAGCAATATATGTCATTAAAATAAAAGAAAAATCTTAGTATTCACCTTCTGCCACTTAACGTTCCTTACAGTTATATAGCATTCCATCAGCTACCTGCCTTGGAGTCTCTTTTCTTTCTAGAAACGTTCAATTTTAAATTCTATTTTTCAGACAATGTTCCTTATGCTATTCTGATGATGACATAAGCTTATGTCTCTGAATGTCCTTGACCAACCTCAAGTTAAAAAAATCAAAAAATGACCCGAGAGGGTTTGCCTCCTGGTCCCTCTGCGGTCATCATGAGACAGGTGACTACAGTACTACATGAAAGAGTGAGGGACGCCCCAGGGGCAAAGCAGCCTCCACAGTCCTGCATGAGCAGAAAGGGCAGAGCATAGAAATGTGTCACTACAGGGAGAGCCCACCTTGGATGTTCTAGAACCTTCTAAAGCTCAGTAAGGTCCACATCTCCATTTTGAACATGTGCTTGGCAGGAGCTCTTTTGGACCCCTGTCACTGATCTACTGCAGTTTTTCTGATGGTAAATGTCATTGAAAATTTCCTGCCTTAAACTGCCCAGAAACCACGTCAGGGCCCCACCCTAGCATTGCTTCCGTTTCCTGAACGGGACAAAGGATGAAAAGCAGAGGGTAAGTAGTTCCCACCGGAAATGGAGCCTTCCGACGTCACTTCCGCTTCCGTCTTCTTTTCCTCCTCCTCTTCTTTCTCGCCAGCCCGCGCAGCCTTCGGTCTGTAGTGGAGGCCCGGGGACAGCTCACGGGGGCAGCGCGGAGCCACTCATGGGGCTGTACGAGTACCTGGACAGCGAGGCGCCCGTGGTCCTGCCCTCCTCCTCCTCTCCCGCCTCTCCTCTCGCCCCCGGGGCGCCAGGCTTGGGGCAGCAGGGGAAGGTGGCCATGAAGCCGAGGCGGAAGCGTTTGTTCATGAAGCAGTAGATGATGGGGTTGACGCACGAGGAGGTGTAGGACAGGAGGAGGATGAAGGAGATGGGGGTCCCCGAGAGGCGGCGCTCGGCAGAGGCGGTGTCGTAGGCCCGCCAGGTGTTGGCGCTGAAGATGGGCATCCAGCACAGGAAGAAGAGGACCACGATGACGATGAGCATGCGGATCACGCGCTTCTTGGCCAGCAGGTTGGCCGCGGAGCTGCTGCTCCTGATGCGGTCGACCCTGCTGCTGCTGCTGGTGGACAGCTGCTGAAGCTCCAGCCTCCCCGGCGGCCGGGACTTCTGCACGTAACACCCGTCACTGTCCTCGTATCTGCCGCTGCTGCCGCTGCTCGGTTTCCTTTCTGGGTGGGCAAGTGACAGCACTTACTGTTTGGGATGGGTCGTGCCAGATAGAAGGCATGGAGCCTCCGACCTCCTGTATCTAGGAGGCCAAGCCAAACTTGAATTGAAGAATTGGATGTGCAGCCTTGGGCCTACACTGATAAGGCGAAGTATTGATCTACAATAGTTCTTTCCGCCAAATGAAAAGCTATTTAAAACTAATAAAGTCCTATATTTGGCCTACACTGATAAGGCGAAGTATTGATCTACAATAGTTCTTTCCGCCAAATGAAAAGCTACTTAAAACTAATAAAGTCCTATATTTTATATATATATATGATATAATAAAAATAATGTAATATGCATGTAGATTTCAAGGATTAAAAAATTATTAAGAATGAATATTTACACTCTGCTCCTTCCTTTCTTTAGCTCCCCAGGAGGAATATTCCTGCTTGCTTGGGAAGCTTCCAGATTGCTTTTATTGCAAGCAATTTGATAATGAGAAAAAAATCAGCTAAAATCGACGAAGCTAAAGAGACTAAGTTATAAAGAGCTGAGTGAGGAGGTGGAGTGAGAAGGAAAAAAGTTATGTCAACAAAGGTGTTGGGGTCAATTTTAGTGCTCAATGGATGGCAATGAATGGGGAAGAAGTGAGGCTTTGTGGCAACTGCAGTGTGAGAATAAAAGGAAGGAGAGGGGAGGGGGAAAGGAGATAACAAAAAACTGGGCTGTAGGTTATAAATCAAATCTCTCCTAATGCCTTTGGAGAGATACAAGTACAGATTGGAATTACAATTAGCAGCCATTGCTGAAGGGTGTCCATTTGAATGCAGCATTACAGAAGGTCACACATGGTCTTTCTGCTTATAATTGGGTTATGTCTGTATTATCTCATTTTATTCCACTCAGCAGCCTTTTGAGAAGAATTATTCCCCATTTTACAGATGAGAAAATAGACTGGATCTCATGACTGTGCCTATGACACAGTCTCAAGAATACTTTCAGAAATCTCCAATATACTCTATATACACTCCGAGTATATCTGTTTAAGTTATAGAAAACAAACTGAGCTCTTTTGGCATCAAAATACAGCTAAGAGATAGTTACCTTTAGCAGATTTCTTCTGGCTAGCATCAAATTTTATTCCTTGGTAGAGTTCCAAAGAGATTAATCCATATGCCACCATCATGACAATTCCAGGAATAAGAAAGAGAATGAGTAGCAGGAACGTGTGCCTAATAAAATCAAAAGAAATCCAATAACCAGCAACTCCAAGCCTTTAAAATCAAATGGGAGGAAATGAATAGGGTTCATCTTTATTTTAACTGGTCTGAACAAACACATCGATTACTAGTATTTAATATCCCTGGAAATTTCATGTCTGGAGGTTCAGTCATTAGAACTTTTTTACTTTTTTTTTCTTTTTTAGATAACGTCTCTGCTAAAGGACTAGTTAAATTGCAAAGTTTTGTGCAATTCTGTGCATGAAACAAGTCTATATATTAAAAATAATGAAAGCTTAAAAACGATAAGGGTATATGAATTATATCTCAATAAAACTATTACCAAATGAATGGTAACAATGAAAGCTTACATTCATCAAGGACCTATTATCGGTGCTACACGCTAGGCTAGGCATTTCACATATATTTCCACATTTAACTCCCATAATAATCTTTGAGGTAGGTACCTTTATCCTAATAACTACTTTAGAGATGAGGAAGCTGGGATTAAGTAACTTGTCCAAAGACACACAGTAGAATTTGAACCCAAGCCATTTGAACCCAACCTACACTGTTAAGCATTGCACTATACCATTTGTTGACTTTATAACAGAATAATCAAATGCCTATGTAGAGATGATGGAAAACCATCTTAGTGTTACAAAATGTGGTATTCTGGCTATTTCTGATCCAGCAGCTATGGGCAAAACTGCTATGGGCACTCATTCTCCATGACCCTGTGAAGCTGGTGCAGTGGCATAGCCATTTTAGTGCCTGGTGGGGTAGAGCTATGCTTTCTCTAAACACGTCTGATTCCTGAGGAATTGCAGCCTCCTTTATGAGTCTGGCCCTTAAATCACTGTTGCAGTCTGGCATGTGTAAGGTTACATGATTAGGCCATAAAGTTGTCAGAGGCTCACGGTGGCTGGGCCATTTCTCATTTCAATTGGACATGTTTTGATAAGATGCCTTTTCAAGTCTTAAAAATATCCCTCTCATTTGCAACATAATTCTTTTTGTGTGTGTGCTACTTGGTTGAAAGAAAGGGAGGAAGGCAAAGAAAGCAGAGACGATTGCAGTTTTGAGCTGTTTTTGAACGTCCAGTCCTCTACTTCTAAAATATCCTTGGAATTAGTAAACACAGTATCCTGTATTTGTGTAGCCCCTTTATAGAGACATTTTTATACACATGCTCTCATTTACAGCCACCAGTGAGGTAGATTTTTTAAATATCCATGTTATTAACTCCTTATGGAGGTAAAGAACCTGAAGCTCAGAGAGGTTATGTGAACTTGCCCAAGGTCACCCAGCTAATAAGCTAAGCATTAGAATCTTAACCATTTTTCTGTTAAAGTGTTCTGTGCAGGTACCATAGATGCAGCTCTAGGAAAAACCATGTGGGATTGGGACTCACTTTGTGCTCTATCTCCAATGCTGTAAACGATTGGAGCTCCCCAAGTCATCTACTCTAACCCCCCACCAGACCATCCAGAAGCATACTGTATAGTGGTTAAGCAGAGATTCTGCTCCTTCCTAGGTTTGTGAATTTGGACAACTTAACCTTTTCAAATCTCAGTTTCCTCATCTGTAAAATGGGCATAATAACAGTACCTACCCTATAGGGTTTTGAGAGGACTAATTGAATTAATATATGTACAGCATTTAAAACAGAGCACTCTAGCTAAATGTTTACCATCACTACTATCCTGGAATGATATCAGAATGATCCTTCTCAAAAAGTCGCCAAGAAACTAATGTTCTAACCACTCTGGGCAAGACATTCCAGCTTTTCATAATATTCCAAAATTATATCAAGTTGTATTTTTAAAAATAAACACAATGCAACCTTACCAGGACTGCTGCATAACATCATTTGGCAGTAGAAAGCGGCACATATTTGCGGTCTGGTTGTTATTTTTGGTAAAAGGCACCAAGTTGCTATAAATGGGGTACGGAGTCATGATGGTAAAGGAGAGGCACCAGGTAGCAGCAATCACCTTTAAAGCATGGGATTTTGTTTGCCAGACTCGGGACTGTAAGGGTTTGCAAATTGCACCATATCTTTCCAGAGATATGGCTACCAGATTAAAGGTGGATACACTCACAGAAGTGCCTGTGACGGGAACAAAGAAGTCAGTTATGTTGGCTCGGAAATCCAAAGTTTAGTTGCACATTAGCTTAAGCATATCTGGGCTGCACAGGTTTGGTATCAAAGGAAAACTCTCACAGTGTAAAGAAATATTGTGCATGTATATTTTAAAAGATGATTTATTCCTAGCTTTGTTCCAAAAAGGATTTAGGGCAACTAAAGAAATGTATTTGCAAATACATCTCATTGCCAATTTTTCGGTAAGTTTATTGAGCTTTGATTATGATCTAACTCCTGCTTAGGCTGAAGGTGCTCATTAATTAATAACCAAGGAGATGAAATATGTTCCTATCCCACAGAAGAGATTTCTGAGAAACCTGAAGAAAAGCTCTAACTTTGAGCATGATCTTCATGGTTAAATTGACTTTAAAACCCCAAGATTCTCAAAGACTCTGTGCCCTGAAAGGTCACTGGGATCTGAGCTGAAAGCAGTAAGACTCTTTCTGAAAATTTCTGGAACACACTGTTTTTAAGAGTGAAACATTCTAAATTTCAAAATGTAATTTGTTAAAAAATATAGTAAAAAAACGATGGAGGGGAACAGCTCTATACTGTAACTAAAGGCTTCTCTGGGTGCGGGGACTAGGGTCTTCCTCATCATTCTTGTTGCTTTTCCGTATTTTGTAGAGTGAGCATACATCATCATTACAGTGGGAAAGATATCAAATACACCTTATTTAAACACACATCCTCGGGCATAGTCAAAAAAGCTTAATTTTCTCAATTTTTGTATTGTGTGTGTGTCTTATAATGTCTTATAATAATGTCTTATCCCCTTAAAATTCCCTTTAGAGTCCCTCAGCTATGAATTCTGTCAATTCTTCTGATTACCTCTTACCATGATTTCTTAAATCCCAGAATTAATATACATTTGGGAGCAGAGGCTTTTAACCTGGGTTCCTTAGATTCTCACTATGTTAATGGACATAAGTTAATTCTCTGTAACTATGTACAAAAAAAAATGTCCTTTTCCTAGGGAGGCTAGGCTTAGCTTTTCTTAGAGTTTTAATGGCATCTGTGACTCCAGAACCATTAACTAAAAACTCATGTTCTGGTATAGGACGTGCTGTGTTTTAGTGAAGATTACTTTAATGAATTGGTAACATTTCAAGCCAAGACTATAGCCCAAAACTCAATATAGTCCATTCTGTGTAATGTATCAACTGTAACTATAAACTCACTGTCAGGCAAGCATTCTTTTGTGTGTGTGTGTGCTACAAATTAGGAGTTTAATGAATGTTAATTGTTAGTATTGACAGAAGAATCTAAATTACTGGAATTAGAAATCCAACAAAATCATTATGGTATTGCAAATAGTTTCAGAATTATCTTGCTTTTCTTTTTTGCCATCAGTCCATTCTGTGTAATGTATCAACTGTAACTATAAACTCACTGTCAGGCAAGCATTCTTTTTTTGTATGTGTGTGTGCCACAAATTAGGAGTTTAATGAATGTTAATTGTTTAGTATTGACAGAAGAATCTAAATTACTGGAATTAGAAATCCAACGAAATCATTATGGTATTGCAAATAGTTTCAGAATTATCTTGCTTTTCTTTTTTGCCATCAAAAAACTTTTTGTTTTGAGGTGAGTTTTACATAACATAAAGTTGACATTTTAAACTGAACAATTCCGTGGCATCCACAATGTTGTGTAACTATTCAAGCACTCATTTTAAATCTCCTTTCACATACTCGGGCTAAGGTTCACAAATCATATGAGTATTACCATAAGATATATACAGATAAGCCTTGGAAGTCTGACCCAAGCCTTGTAAAATATGCAGAGCTGAGTTGGGGTAAGACAGTCTTCAATAACCAGAAAGCTTTAAAAGCCTTTATTTTTCCTAATTAAAACACTGTAAAATGCTAGTTATTATTACTGCTTCATTATTTAACAATGATCCTTTTCATTTGTAAGTCTTTTATTTTTATTTTTTATTTCGAGAGGACTTGGACACAGATGGACATGTCCTTGGTTATTTGTCCACAGCACAAGGGTCAGTCATTTATCAGCATTTTGTCAGTGCTGGATCCCGCTTCCTTAGTTGGGAAAAATAAAGCCTTTTAAAGCTTTCCGGTTATTGAAGACTGTCTTACTCCAACTCAGCTCTGCATATTTTATGAGGCTTGGGTCAGAGAAAGATACAACTCCCTCCTCATTTCCCACCTCTCCCTCTCTCCCAACTAGTTCTTAAGGGACAAGGCCATTTGGCAGACAGAGGGGCCCAAGGGACTTGTTTTAGTTCAGCTTCAGGAGAGCCACAGCAGTTGTCAAACTGAGGCAGTGTGCTCACCAGTGTGGTGGCTACTGATTTGGGTTCAAGTCCCAGCTCAGTTGCTTAGTGCAGTGTGTCCTTAGGCACATTGTGAGCCTCTCTGTGCCTCTGTTCCCTCCTTAGTGAGACAGGGAAGAATACCTGTATTGACTTCACACAGTGATTGGAAGATAAAATAAGATCATGGAATTAAAAGCACTTACTACAACATCTGGTGCAAAAATGTACTCAAAAAATATTAGCTGTTGTGACTTTTATTATTATCATTTTGATTGGCATAGGAAGAGAGCCACATATCTCAGCCAATCAGGGTCAGCTTAGTGAGCCCACAGCTCCCAGAAGCAAATTGAACTCCTTATCTAGGGGCAGAGACCTCTCTCTCTCTCTGCCTGACATGGTCTCAGCCCTTGGGGGAACAGGCTGGGAAGTAAATCTTGAAAAAAGAATGTAGAGCTGTGATGAAACTGATTTTCAAATAGCTCTTGTTCCCTAAGAAAACAAGAGGAACCACAGCAAAGAATCCTCCTCTGTGACCCTCGCCATCCCTAGGAGCCAGGACTTAAGTTGAGTAGAGATCAGGATTCAGCCAGTGGCTTCTAGAAATGAATAGAACGGCTTGAAGTCACTTTGGAATTCTTCCCTTTGAACAGAAGCAAGCAAAATCAACCTCTTCCATATTTTCATATCAACTTATCTCACTCTTAGAAACGAACCTCTGACATGTATGATGGGGGATGGATTTCTGGGGACACATAAGGACTGCTCAAAGCCAGCACTTATGTCCTTGTACAAAGCCCCACACATCCCGATGTTCTGTGTTTTAGTGCTCAGCCGGGTCCCTCCGCTGTGGCTGTCATGGGTTTGGGCAGGTCTAGGGCGGAGTGGGATCTGGGGCGTGCTCTGGAAACAGTCACCAGCAGCGACTTACCCATGAAGTAAGTGGTGGTCTTGCAAACAGCACTTCCGAAGATGAAATCCTTGAGCAGGTTGGGGATCAGGTTGAAAGGCATGCAGAAGAGGCAGAGCATGAGGTCGCTGACAGCCAGGGAGAGCAGGAAGATGTTGGTGACGGTCCTCATCCTCTTGTTCCGAATCAGCACCGTAATGACCAGCGTGTTTCCCAGCACGCTGAGCAGGAATATCAAGGAGTAGAGGAGAATCTGCACCGCCGGCTGCCACTCTGCAGAGAGGAAAAGGGACAAGACAGGGACGGAGATTATGACAGCGGAATGTTAAAACCTTAGTGCTCGAAGTGAGCAGTTATTTCCTGCCAATTTTTTGCCCCCAGGAGTGTGCATCATTGAACCCAACTATTCCTGTACTGACAACATTTTGCAGAACCAGGCAGGCAAGCAGAGAGTGAATTATTTGATTTTTAAAGGTTGGTTTGTTAAAGGAGCACTCAGGGAGCCAGTCTTTCTTAAGAACAAAGCTTCTCAAGTGAACAGGCATCACCTTCTTTCCCAGCTGCTCAGCATGATTTTGCTTAAACACATCTTCACGCTGGGATTCCCCCAAGAAGAGGCAACTGCCCTGTCGTGACAGCACCTTTTCTGTAACGCTGGTAAGTTCCAGCTTGCACACTTGCTCCCCTTTCTGCTGCCCTCAGCTCTTCCTCCCACTGCTTTTGTTCCCTCAAGTCCTATTTGTGAATCCCCAATTCTCCCACAGGGAACAATTGACTCTATTCTGCTCTTTGATTTCTTATCCAAACTTCTGCACGTATGACTTTATCCAGCCTAGTCTCACAGTGATTCTGTTATATTTTCTTTATCAGCCTTGCCTTTGCTGATTTCTCCCTCAATTCAATAGTTTTCTGAATTAAAAAAAAAAAAAAAGCTTTGAGACCTACCCTTGGAAGGATGGGGCTGATCCAAGCAGAAAAGTGTCTCATTTTCGAGCCCGAGTTCACAGGGAGGAGTGATGTCGCTTCCATTCACAAGAAGGCTGTCGACCACGTCCATCCTTGCCTGCTGCTTCCCACCAAGTGCTGGCGAGCTGGGGAATTGCTCACTCCCGGCTCATTCCTCTAATGACCAGAGAGTCTCCTAAATGCAACTTGCCGTGGAGGGGCAGGGAGGGAGAGATTTCCAGGTGTGGGCTTTTTCAGCCATTCCTAAAGGTGACTTGAGTTCACCATGCTCAGTCCAGCTGGGCATGCATTTGCACTCCTGTTGTGAGAAAGGCAGCTAGTGTGCAAGCCAAGTTCGATCCACCTTGCAGGCCCACCCCTCCCATTCCTGGGCCAATCTTAGGGCCCTGAGCACATACAATCTGGCTGCAAGTTAACCCTTTTTAGAGTGTGGCTGCTTTCACACACACACACACCACGTGTACACATGCATGGACACACACATGCAATGCACACACACACACTTGCCCAGTACCTCTCTTCTCTGTGTAGAAAGGAACCTGTCATCATCCCAGACATATGCAGAATAAAATCCAAGCTAGCTGTGAGACAGGCACAATTAACACAGTAACAGATACGATAATGCAGACCATCAGGACTAGAGGACACGGATGGACTGTGTTTCTACCTCCTTATATAAAGGCAATTAGTGCCTTTTTAGCTTTGGAATCATGCCCAGCAATGTGCGTGGATATAGCTGCTGGGTGGTTGTTAAGTTGTTGCCAACCACAGTGTTATTTCTTGTGGTCTCTGCACTTGTTAACCAAAAGGGAGGGGGACACTTTTGAATATAGGTTCCTGGATCCTTATTACAAAAAAGTTAGTGAGATTTCCCTTTCACTCATTTATTCGTTCATCCATGCATTCAGCACATTTTCATTGAGAGTCAACCATTTGCCAGGCACTTTTCTAGCACAACAGCAAATAATGAGCAAGATCATTTCAGACAGTGTTAAGTATCGTGGAGGAAGTAAAGCAAGGAGAAGTGATGGAGAGAAATGGATCAGGGGTACTAATTTAGATGGGGTGGCCAGGAAAGGCTCCCAGAGGGGACCGTGGTTTGAGACCTGGACAACCAGGAGGAGAAAGCCTTGCAAAGATCAGGGGGAAGCTTCTAGGCGGAAGGAATAAAATTTTCAGCAGAGGTCACAGCAAGTGCCAAGGCCCTGAGGCGGGAATGAACTTGACCCGTTTGAGGAATCGAAGCAGGAATGAGCGTAGGGCAAGGAGTGGGAGGTGAGGCTAGCTTGGCAGGGTTGGGGAAGGTGTTCCTGTGAAGCTCTGCAGTGCTGGAAAGCCCCCCAACACTCATGGCACAGATAGAGCAGACCCTTTGGAAAGCAAGTGACAGCAACGGTAGGACCTGCGTTGCTGACATGCTGCTTGGAGAAGCTATGACTTGGTGTTTTTGCTAGACCCCTCTGGGGCTCCTCGTTAACTGACAACTCTTCCATCAACAGAGCTACATGACGTGTCTTTGCTGAGGCCCTGCCAGTCACGGATGAACTGACTGACATTTTTACTGTCGATGTGGGGCTGGGAAGACAGAGTGCTACCTCTTCTTTGAAACCATAAACACCTCATGTTTGGGGCATTTAATCATAGAAACTAGAAGTGAAAGGACATTAGAGAAGCTATAGGTAGTTATTAGAAGGACGCGCCTGGGATCAAATCCTGGCTTCCCTGGTTACCTGCTGGGAAATAGTGGCCAAGTTTCTGAACCTCTCTAAGGCTCATTTTCTTCATCTGTCAAATGGCGATCAAAATGACTTGAAAGATATCTGCTATGAAGATTGGTTGACTCTAGACAGTGTCTGACACACAAAAACTGTTCAGTAAGTCACAGACAGCAGTACTAACAGCCTTCTAATCATAATGGCTATTTTTCTATTACGAATGAGGAAACTGAGACAGAGCAGCCAGGTGATTTGCTGGTAAGAACCAGCAGTGGGAATCCCCTCAGGACCCCACTTCCTGCCGCGTGGAGCCTTGCTTCAGCCTTCTCCTATCCTGCAGCCCGCCTGGAGCCAGGGTTCCTGTCTCTTCCCCTCCTTCCTGCCGCCTGTTTTAGGCAGAATCTTCTCTGTCTACAGACTCTAGGCCCTGCTTAGAGGGAGCTGACCCAGCATAGCATTGTCCTGATTTGGGAAGGCAGAAGCACTCAGGTTTTGAGGCCTGAGTACAGCTAAATCTCACCTCACTGCAGTTCCCAGCAGCTGGCTGCTTACACTGCTTCAGCTGGGCAGACGTCCCCAGCCATAGAGGGTGCCTTCTGCTGAGGTTCATCAGGCCCATCAGCAGCTGCTTCAATAGCTGGGGGTGGGGGGTGTGGTTGGTGGGGACAGCTGTTGTAGGTCCAAGAGTCAGAGAACAGAGAACACGGGGTCAACCTGCCCTGAACAGAAATGGAACCCAATTGGGGGAAAGTTCCCCCTTCTCTCCTTCCCTCCCTCCCTTCCTTCCTATTCTGTTCTTTTCTGCTCATTGGCTGGCAGGAAGTGGGGGTGGATACTAGAGATTTGGTAAACTCATAAGGAGGGGGTGCAGCACATTTGAATGCTGTGTTTCACAAACTTTACTGCACATCTGAATTACCTGGCTTAGTGGTTAAAAAATAGGGATTTCCAGACTTCCCTCACAGAGCTTCTGATCCTTCAACACCAGGCCTGGAAATCTGCATTTTTACCCAGCCTCCCTGGGGATTCAGAGGCCAGTGATCTTAGCAACACCTGGGAATGTTCCCTGGGGAGGGCAGGCATCAGACTGCAGGAACCTAAGCCTGACCTTCACCACTGGCCAGCTGTGGAGCATGAACAATTCACCCTTTCCGAGTCTCACTTTGCTCTTCTATAAAACGGGGATGTGATGATGCTACCTACAAACAAAGCAATACATGGACGGAACTTAGAATAATATAGTGCTGGATAGTAATTGTTAGTAATACGTGAGATTAATCCTAGGAGGAAGCCTTGCGATGCCCTAATAGAGAACGGATGCTCCATTTATCCCATTATCACTGCCAGACTCAGGGTTTGTATCTCAAGTCCCCTAGCACAGTGCCTGACATATAGCACATGCTCGGTAAATGCAAATAAATAAAGAGTGAAATATTAGAGAGGCCAATATTCCATTTCTTATTATATCCTTTTATAACTCTATTACATTGGTTCTATTCCTGGCCAACTCTGGATTGTTCACTCTGAGTTTGTGAGCTAGTGCTACCTAAGAGTTAAACTAAAAGAGAGAATTCCAATGGGAGATTCCAGTGCCTTTTTGAGGGAAAAGTGGATGCATTTCCAGAGTGGCAGCCCTTGATTCGTTCCTCAGCAGACATTGATGGAGTGCCTTGTAAGTGCCAGGTTCTGCGCTCGGTGAACCCAGCAGATGGAATTCCTGTTTCCATGAAATTTGCGGCCCACTGTGGGAGATAGGCGATCCGTAGCCTGGGCGAAATGGACGTGCCCTCTCAGCTCAGAGCCCTGTCCTCTGGGCACAGTTCCAGGGGAACTGATAACAAATGGCCTAAACTGGGCTGAATGGTTTAAGTGCCTCCCCTTTCTGTGAGACACAGGCCTAAGCAGGGCATAAGCCCGAGTGCCTCCTGCAGTCACGAAGCCCTGTAAGTATTAAGGACTATTTTGTCTGCCAGACACTGCCCCAGAAAGAAAGAACATGAGCCATCATAATGGGTTCCTGGGTAATGAAATTATTAACTGCTCCCCCAACTATTCTCCCTTTTAAGGAGCAGTTGTTTTAAAACCACTTGAAAGATGTATTTTTTCCCTCATTATAACATTAATCACATGTTCATGGCGAATTTTTTTCAATAAAGAAAAATGGGTGTAAATATAACACAAATAAATTTCAAAGCCGCACAGGATTTATTCTCAAGGTGGTGCTGCTTTCTGAGTAACTCGGTCTAGAGGTAGTTAATAGGTAATAGCATGTTATGGGAGACCCAATTCATAGGGCAGCCTGACATTTCTCAAAATTCTCTTGACTCTCTGCAATTTTCCTCCACTCTGCTATTTAGAATGTCAATCTCTAAATTCCTCATTCCTCACTCTGACCAAACTAGCCCAGACTGCTGCCTGCTAGGGTTTTCTTCTATTCCTTCCTCTAACCATCTCAGCCTTCTGGAAGGGACGGACTGGGACTTCCTCCCTCCTCGCTGTGCACTGAACCAAGTCGTGTTGCTCTGGAGGGTGGAGGCACTGAGGCTCTCACACAACCCTGGCCCCCACGGAGGGCAGCATGCAACTGCCCCAAGTCCCCATTGGCTTCCCTTCTTGGAGCAATCCTAGTGGGTTCTTCCTGATGAATAACCCGTCCTCCTCGACACAGAAGGCAAGTGCCACGTCTACTTGAACAGGCTGTAACTTAGCAAACCATATCTGGGCTTTGAGCGAGTACCTTTGCCTCTCTGAGTCTCTATTTTCTCATCTGTAAAATGGGTTCACAGTAATAACACCCACTTCAGACGGCTGCTTGGATAATACATGTCACAATGTGTGTAAAATAGCCAGCAGAGTGCTTGGCATGTCATAAGGGCTCAATAAATGATAATAATATACAGTAATTATGTTGATGGGAACATTAAAATCATCCTTGATGTCACTGCTTCAAGATAACTTTGCCGATGGTTTGGTTGTTATCCTTTCAGCCTTTTTCTTCTAAATACATTTTTAAGAAAACAAATTTGAAATAATATTCTACATACTGGATTCATCCTGTTTTTCACTTTTTGAGAATGTAATTTTAAGATGTGTTCTTCCCTCAAAATGAGAAATTTGGCTTTTGTAGCATTCTGGAAAATGTGTTTATTTTTAAAAATTTAAGAAAATAAAAAAGAAAGTAAAAAAGAATTCTATGACCGCATCATCCAGAGAATTAAACAAATGTTTTGTGTACATACTATTTTGTATATTTCTTAGTATTATTCCATCATCATGTTTTAGTATTTCTCTATAGTGTTATTTTTAGTGATGTTTATTCCTTTAAGAATATGTACTCAGATTTATCAAACTACTTCCATATAATTGGATATTTAGGTTTCAATTTTGGCTTTTTGTTTTTATAAATGACACTGTAGTGAACACTTATGCACACATAATTTTGTGGCATTTGATGTACATTGCTGACTTCAGGGCTGCCACCAGCATAATTCCAGGTGGGCAGCATTCAGTGCTCAATGTTTAATGTTCAATATTAGATGGAAATGTGCCCCCCTGGAGTTGTCAATGCAGGTGCATGACCCCGTGGG